ACAAATTGGAAGCCAAAAGAGAAACAAATGATGAGGCTCACAGGATGCTCAGCACAATAGAAGTATATTAGATTCTAGTGCCATTAGAATTCTATGCAATTATTAAAAGGAGCCACACATTTTATTCTGATTTTTTCTAGCACCAAATGCGAAAATAAAAATATGATCGGTTACTCGTTTTGCATTTTCTATTTATAAAGTTCATCCACTGCTTGAAGAAAGCAGATTTTTGTCCTTGTTCCATCCGAAGGCTATTTTTTTCATGAATTTTCATTAATGGGGCATGGAGTAGGAGGAAAGTAGGAATATAGAGAAAAACAACAACAACAAAAAGGCAGTATGGATGAAAAAAAAAGAGTACCACTCCATGAAGAAGACTCTGATGGTTGTTACACTCCGGTGGCACAGAGACAGAAAGAGGTAACTGACCTCTGGAAGGAGGTGCCTCTCTGTTTAATTTCCTGTAAACCTCTCTCTGTCTTCTCTTCTGAGACAAATTAGTGAACAATAATCACTTTTCTGTCTGCAGGGCTCAGAGATCTCAGAATACTACTTTCTCTTTTGCTAGTATAAACTCATTGGAAATTTGGTCACTGACCACAGAAACCACTTTAAAATAAATGTAAGTAAAATGTTTTAGAATATTTTATAGCAAAGTGAGAAATCCCCTGTTCCCTCCACTAAGCTAGTTGAGAAGATAACAGAGAATAATAAACTAATATATGGTCTCTTTCTCTGTTAATACCTAATGAGAATGTATCATAGGTTTTGGTTGTTTTCAGCCTCTCTCTCTCTCTCTCTTTCACACACACACACACACACACACACACACACACACACGTATGTTTGCCTGAGACAACAGGATGGAATGGATAATAAAGGAGAGATTCAGGTAGGTACTAATGTGACCATTTTCTTCATCTAAATAATAACTGAAATGTAGGACAAGTGCCTTTATTTCATTGGATTTATCCAATTAATCATGAGTATTAAAAGACAACACTCTAAGGAGGTTTTTTCTCCATTAAAAATGTGAATTTCTCTATATGAGGGTAAGTGGATATAAAAGTCATGACAGATGTGAAAAAGGTATCTTTCCAAGCACAATGCTGAACATATAAAAGGGGCTCATTGAATCCTTACTGAGTTAGACATCTTTCCTCTTCACTGATATTAGAAAAAAAAAAAAAACCTCCATTTGGTAAAACATCAAAGGGCAGGAAATCAGCCCAAAAAGAGGTGAAAATCTTCTGTACATCCCAGCTGGTTCTATTGTGAACTCCTAAAATAGGTAGAGAGCCATGTGAAGCACATGATGGGGTACAAAACTGACAAGCTGGATTCTGGAATACATTCTTCCTCTTTTCAAGCATCCTTGGTCTGTTTTTTTTTTCTGGACAGAGATAGGGTCATCACAATTCAAGAATTAACTCAAAAACAAAATAGAACAACAACAACAAAAGGTTTACAAAGCCCATCCCATTGGTATACAAGAGTAATTTATTCGGTTTGGCTTCATTTAGCACAAGTGGGTCAAAAATCAATGATGTTTTGGTAAGTGGTAATATTTGGAGAAATGGAATAAAGAATGCATCTGAAGATAAATAGGAATTATAACCACAAAAAAGGAAGGGTACTTACAAACCAAAGGTATGTATGGAACACAGGAGAATAGGTGAGCTGCCAATGAAATGGGCTTATAATGCCTCTTCCCCAACACAGCATCTGGAGGCTTCATAAAATCACTCTAACGGGTCAAGCATTGAAGGTCCTGAGAAGAATTTTTTTTTTAATAGTTGCATTGCAATTCATTTGGATTCATATAGCAAATAAACCACTCGGTCATTTAGAACAAATTTTTTTAAATACATACTAGGAAAATTTCAGTGGGCTAACTAGAAAGGAAAAAATAGTTTGGCTCACCGCCTAGAGGAAAAGATCTAATTCAGTGAGCATAGCAGGAACAGTCAATGTCAAAAAGGTCCTGTATTACAGGTGAGACACTCTGAGAACGAGTCACCTATCCCTCCCAGTTTGTTTTGCCCACTTTGCCACTAAACTCATCTATGACACAGTAAGAACTCATAGATACAAAAGATGGAAAAAGGATTGTGTGTTGACATCCAGGAGTTCTACTCAGACCCACCCAGGTAAACTGAGCCCAAAGGTAATCCTTCCTCCGGCTCACCTCTTCGGCATGCTTGCTAACTCTGGTTCGTATACTCCTATAACTTATAGTGTGACTCTAATTGTTCCTGTAACTTTCCTGGAGCAATGTTCATCCCACCACATCAGAACAGAACAGAATGAAAAGCCTATGTTTGCTGGACAGCATGACCCCTTTTCTGGTCAGACTATCCCTTCAGATGGAAGGCTTTGGAGATATGCCAGAGGCAAGTGGAATTCCCAAACCTTTAGTCTTGTATAATTATTCTCCTCCACATATTTTGGAAACTGCTGAACCCTCTTTTATATGGTGCTGTGATTCAGAGGGTAAGTAATTGGGATATGAATACTGGCTATCTTTAGAGGAAAGCTCTTTGGATAAATGGAGGAAAACAGCATTATTCCTGTAAAATGCCAATTGACATAGCTTTTATAGATAAATATTCACTTTTCCTTTTGTGATGTGGAAACCTAACCTAATTTTGCTTCACAAACATCTCATTCTGGGGGAGGAAAGGATTTTTTTTTAATGGAACAATCATGCATCCATAAGTACCTGGTGCTAAGATGAGCCTGAAGAAAATGTTAAAAGTATGATGAGGCATAAACTGACAGTAAAGAACCTGATTATTTGACATAAAACATTCTGCTAAAGATAAGATGTGAAATGTAAGGTCTGCTGGCTGGGAAGTGTCGAGTGTGCCTTTACATCATGCAGGCTTTAGGTATGGGTTTTTCTCTCACTCTCTCAGATCCACATGCTATGGGTTAAATCCATTTTCAGACAGGCTCTTCCAACAACTACATGCCTTGCATCCTCTCAGGTTTAATTATTTAAAACTAATATACTCTTTCCCCAGAAGTCCCCCCCAAATCTCACTGGCTCTAGTTGAAACATGAGACGATTGCTGGGCATTCACTTTAAATCTTCATGCCTTGGACTAGCAATGGAGCCCATCGCAAAGCACATGGACTGAGAATGGGAAATGAGTGGCTCCTTAGAGTGAAATTGAGGTCCCGTTACCAACAGCAGAGCAGATAGACATGGAGTGTCAAATATATTTGACAATTTGACAATATATTTGCAAGATATTCTTCCACCATCAGATATAATTCATTAGTGTCTCGCCGTACCTGTTTGTCTTCTACTTGGTAGTTCTAATTTCTGCGGCTTTGAGGACACATAACACTCCTAAATACTTAACCCAGAGACAGAAAAACATAAGTCCATGCAAACACTTGTACAAAACTGTTCATAACAGCTAATTAGTAATATCTAAAGAGTGGATGCTACCCAATTCCCATTAATAGGTGAGTGGATAGACAAGTTATGGCATATCCATACAATGGAATACCACTGGACAATAAAAAGGAATGAATCGTTGATGCATGCAACAATGTGAATAAATTTCAAAATAATTGTGCTGAGTGAAAGAAGCTAGACAAAAAAAGAGTACATATTGGGTGATTCTATTTACATAAAAAGTCTAGAAAATGCAAACTAATCTATAATGACGGAAGGGAGATCAAGATCAGTAATTGCCTATAGAACAGTGGGAGTGGGGGTCAAGGCAGGGAGGGGCAAGATGGAAGGATTAGAGAGCTGCACAAGGAAGCATTGAGGGGGGAGTGATTGACATGTTCATCATCTTGATCAAGAGTTGGCATTTTTTGCTGTAAAGGGCCAGATAGTAAATATTTTAGGCTTTGCAAACCATATAGTCTCTTACTCAACTCTGCCATTGCATCATCAAAACAGTTATAGATAAGAAGTAATTAAATGGGTGTGAGTGTGTACCAATAGAACTGTTTACAAAATCAGGTGCAGTCTAATTGAGTGTGCAAGCCAATCCCTGCTCTTGGTTATGGTGATGGGTTCGGAAGTGTGTACATATAGCAAAACATCAAATTGTATACTTTTATTATATGCCTCCATAAAGTTATTAAATAATAAAAACAAGACAAACAACCTTAGCTTCCCCATCACAAAGTGGATAAAGTCTAATCTTCTTACCATGGTATACAAGTCCCTCTATGAACTGGCCTCTATATTCCTCCCCTATCAGATTCATTGTCATTCCTTCTGGCATCTTTACTCTTTCAGTGCCAAACATACACATCATGCCATTTCACCTCTATGCCTTTGCTCGAGCTTTCTCTCTGTCTTGAATGACCTACTCCTACCAACTGTAAGATTAAACTTGCGCATGTACACTCTCAAGATGCATTCCTTCTTTCCTTATGATAACCCTACTATTCCCTTTCCCTCATCTCTATGACTCCATAGTAGCCTGTATATTTGTGTGTGTGTTCATGTGTATGTGTATACACCTACATATACATACACTCTTGCACGATTACATCGTTCCATAATTTTAACTATATAGCTGAAATTTTTCTCATATATTTAGAATTAAAATGTATTATTACCCCATGTCTGGATACTTGACTGAGCGCTCCCTGTGTCTATTACACCTATCACAGTGTCCGGCACATTTTTTAAAAGAGCAAATAAACCAATAAATCAGTATGGCAGCTGTTATTATAACGTTTTTTCAGACAATGAAACTGATAGGTAGAGAAGTTATATGTATAGCCCATAGGCACATGGTTCTAAATGGCCAATCTACTACTGTGAAAGGGTTCCTCTGTATCTAATCTCAAACGCTTCCCACTAATCCTTGCAATTGTTTTTGCTTTGGTTTTTGGGGGGTTTGTTTTGTCCTGTTTTTTTGTTTTTTAGTTTTTGCTTTTTAATTGAAAGCTTAACTACATTTCACCCTGATGGTTTTATTTTTTTCTGGCGGTGCCACTGCTCTTCCTTCATCTCTTAGGTACACCAAAATGAAGACTGCCACCAACATCTATATTTTCAACCTTGCTCTGGCAGATGCCCTAGCAACCAGTACCCTGCCCTTCCAGAGTGTCAATTACCTAATGGGAACATGGCCATTTGGAACCATCCTCTGCAAGATCGTGATCTCCATAGATTACTATAATATGTTCACCAGCATATTCACCCTCTGCACCATGAGCATTGATCGCTACATCGCAGTCTGCCATCCCGTCAAGGCCCTGGATTTCCGCACCCCCCGCAATGCCAAGATCGTCAACATCTGCAACTGGACCCTCTCTTCAGCCATTGGTCTGCCTGTGATGTTCATGGCGACAACAAAGTACCGGCAAGGTGAGTATGGCTGCAGGCCTGAGGGATAGAGAGAATACAGATATGTTAGTGAAGTCATAAGCCAAGTAGAAGTTATGGAGTGGTCCCATGCTGTAGACAAACTGTAATTTTAATGATTCTTTTTAGCAAAATAGTTTTGAATATTTTGAAATAGGAATTTTCCCCTATAATTTTAAGTCCAGTAAACATTTGAAAGAGAAGATAAACCATAATCTATTGGTTCCTGATTTCTCTGCACTTACTTCACCAAAATGACGGGAAAATAAGAACACGGCTCTTTCAAGAGTAATTAGAGCTTAAACCCAAAGAACATTAAGTGGAGGCTTGTTTTAAAATCTCAAGTGGCTGCCTATGTGACAAATTTATCTTTTTAGACTTCATTTCAGAATGATAAATCACCCATCAAAAAGTGGAGTTAAGGGAATCCCCTGGTGGTCCAGTGGTTAGGACTCAGCACTTTCACTGCGGTGGTGGCCGGGTTGGGGAACTAAGATCTCCCAAGCCACATGGGTGGCCAAAAAAAAACCCCAGAAAATGGAGTGAAGACATCCATTAGCTGGAAACCCCTATAGAATCTGGACAGTGATTATATTTTTCTATCGGCCTAGACCCCATAGAGGATCTAGCTCACGGTGAGAGATTCATAATTGTTGACTGAATGAAAGCTTAACGTCATCAAAGTGGAGAACCTAAATGACGTATCTGGAAAAAATAACTCTCCCTGAAAATCAAAAGAGAACTGAGTTTCTTCCATGATTTCTTTAAATCTTCCTTTTCTGGCCTGTGTAGTAATAGCCAGAAGTTAACCCAGGTCAAGGTGATAAATTAGAGAGCAAAATGGCAGACGCAACACCTAACGACATCATTAAAAGTTGCTGCTAATTCTTCCTTATCTTTCTTTTCTTCTAGGTTCCATAGATTGCACTCTAACATTTTCTCACCCAACCTGGTACTGGGAAAACCTGCTGAAGATCTGTGTTTTCATCTTTGCTTTCATCATGCCTGTCCTCGTCATTACGGTGTGTTACGGACTGATGATCTTACGCCTCAAGAGCGTCCGCATGCTCTCTGGCTCCAAAGAAAAGGATCGGAACCTGCGAAGAATCACCAGGATGGTGCTGGTGGTTGTGGCTGTGTTCATTGTCTGCTGGACCCCCATTCACATTTACGTCATCGTCAAAGCCTTGATCACAATCCCAGAAACTACTTTCCAGACTGTTTCATGGCACTTCTGCATTGCTCTCGGTTACACAAACAGCTGCCTGAACCCAGTCCTTTATGCGTTTCTGGATGAAAACTTCAAACGATGCTTCAGAGAGTTCTGCATCCCAACGTCCTCCACCATTGAGCAGCAAAACTCCACTAGAATGCGTCAGAACACCAGAGACCTCCCCTCCACGGCCAACACAGTGGATAGGACTAACCATCAGGTAGGCAGCTTCTAGGATTGGGTGTACCTCCTGGGGATGACAGAAAAATTATAGAGCTTCTTAAAAGCCAAGATTTGAATCCACTGGAAAAGGATTGAGGGGATTGAGGCTGCGCTCTATGTATTTTGTACCTATGCATTCAGATATAGAGACATTCCAATCAGATATCATCAGATATCCATAAATCTACTAAAACTCTACTACCTTCACAGCCTTTGCTTCTATGCAAAATTAATGACTTCAGCATATTGTGGAAGTAATCTTAATCTAGAATTCTTCTCATTCCCCCCAATGTTAGGTGTTTCATGCATATCACTCCAATGTCCCTGTCACTTCTCAAAAGCCAGTCCTGCTCTGGATCTATGGTTACAGAGAAAGTGTCAGCACTTTGCCCACTGTAGTGATGGGTGACCATGTTCCCAGCAACTCACTGTCACACCAAAGGAGAAAAGAGGATTCAATGGCCCGTCCTTAACTTTGTTGAGTCACTGATTTATAAATTTTTATACCTGAACTCTAGAGAAAACATCAAATTTATTACTTAATTATTAGAACTAAATTAGTTTTGCAACAGTCATCACACCAATTGAGGTTAGTATAATGAGGAGTGACTATCTGTTGGAAGATATAGCCCTGTGCACAGAAGAGCACACATGGGAGCCTGCACAGAAGATGCAAGGTTTACACACAACAGAGTAATCACATGAGAAATCAAAAAGGAGGAAAGAGAAAAAAAGTCTGTCTCTAAGTTAATATTGCCTTGTTAAGCCACTGGTTTGGAAATTTTGGAGTTTGGCCTGTAAAGTAAATCAGTCACTGAATTATTAAAATTAACTTAAGTAAGTAAATTTCTGAATGATGGTGCCAGCATCCAAAAATCACAGCCTGTGTAATTTTATAACACAGAACTCAAATTCAAACTCCCTGTGAAAGTAAATCCTCATGTCAGAATCTTAGGTAAAGTTTCTAGGGTCAGGGAGCAGAACAGTGGGGACAGATGGCTCCCTAAAAATCATCAGGAAGTCAAGTCGCGGAGCCAGAGAGAGAGCCTGGTTCCCTTAGGATACAGCTGCTTCCTCTCTGCTTCCTGTTCCCCACTCCTCGCTGTCCCTTGTGGTGGCCACTACTGCCACCCAACCCAGCCCAGGCTCACCCCTTCTAATTGACCACAGGACCAATGTAATATGGTCCAGAAGGATCTGCCATGGCGACATGAATGAACCCTCATACTCTTGATATTAAATAATGTTAAAATGAACCCAGGAACTCGCAAGCCCTGGGGAGCATGAGGTAATGATGGCAGGCCTATTTCCAACCAAAGGGAAATTATTAACTTATTATGTCTCACTTCTAATTCCATTTCAGAAACAAAAGCCAGAAAGAACAGTTTTTCTACTCTGCTTCTTTAATTTTTTTTTTTTTTCACATCAAGACCTCTAAGCCTGCTCCTTTTACTAAGCAGGTCTCCTTCTCGGTGATTCTGGAAATCTTGTGAATAACTTAAAGAGGGTAGGAATTTAAATAGATTTTTCTCTAACCTGAAGATAATACGTTAAAGAATGCAACTTAAAACCCTCAGTCCTAAACTAAGGTTAAAATATTTACCACTGGAGCAAAATGATGGCCGTTGTAAAGGATTCGTTCTCTCTCCTTAAGCACCTGTTTATACCCTCCCTCTCCTTTCAGGCACTTCGGGGAGTGGCTGCTGGTATTGTACCCTGTACCACTGCCGAGGTCTCTTGTCATATTTGATCCTCTCAGAACCCTTCACCTGCCTTGCTTTCCTGGAAGTACAGCTCCCAGCTTGTCTGGTGGAGTGTTTTTCCTGAGTTCAGCATGAGTGTCCTTCGGCTGCCCCGACACTGCCCTTGACTCCCCTCCAAATCCAGCAGCTTCACAGCCACATGTGTGGTTCTTGCACAGCCAGAGAGAGGAGAAAGGAAGCTAACTGGGGAAGCTCTGGTCTAAGCAACTAAAAGGTTCGCTTTAAAAATACATCCAAATGGGGCTTATCTTCATTGCTGCCTCTGTGAAGCAGCATCAGTGTCAGATAACAGCAGAAACACATTAGCCCTGGAATTGGCTGCTTTCCCAAAACGCCCAACTGGGAGAGCTGGACACAGAAGAGTGGATGCCAGGAAAAGAGGAAAAGACACTCTGACATATTTGAAAATTAAGATAAATCAAATATCCCTTTCACTAATCTCCACTGAGGTGTCATCATTAGAATCAAGGCAGTTACACACAGACATCTGGAACAATACATGGGTCTTTGGTGATCTTCTCACTAATATATCAAAATAATAAAATTATTTGGGGGAAAAATTGGAGATTTTACGGCTGTGTCTATAGGTCATTGATTCGCTTACAAATTCAGTATCTGACAGGGAGGTGTTATTTTCTTTTTTTCTTTTTTTTTTAAGTCATGAACCGTCATGTTAGGAAACAAAGCTAATTGGACTTGCATTAACTGTTTAACTGCTATCTGTACCATTGTAGATGTTTATGTCCTGCCTATCTATGTATTTGTATTTTCTCCAAGAAACATGTTGTACTGTATGTGTCACATGTCAAGCACATTAGTCAACTTCATATTCTGCAGATCAGAGATCCAATATCAAACCTTCCCAGGGTGTCTGTATTCTGAAACTGTACACTGAGATCATGTCCATGCAACGCAAAGTCAAGTGGAGAGTTGGCAGTTATCAAGGTAATTTGATCATATAAGAAAATTATGTGCCCAAGATAAACTTTGAGTCATACTTACATAGCTAAGGGCTACTTGGTCAGCTTTTGCTGCATAACAAATCATTCCAAAATTTAATGGATGAAAGGAACCATTTATTTAGTTTACAGTTCTATAGATCAGTAATTTGGGCTGGGCTGGGCTGGGCTGGGCTGGGCTAGACAGTTCTTCCAGTCTTAGCTGGGCTCACTCTGGTGAGCTGCTCTATCGGCTGTCAGCCAGCTGATCTAAGGTGGCCATAGCAAGAATGGCTAGCTCCTCATGGATCCTCATCTTCCATCATCCGTGTTAGCCCAGGCTTGTTCTCATGGCCATCACAGGTTCTAGGTTCAAAGGCTGGGAAAACAGACTCCACCTATTGATGGAGCTGCAGTCACATTGCAAAGGGGTGTGGATGTAGGGAGGGAAGTCATTGTGGCCACTTTTGCTAACCATCTACAGTAGGCACATGGTGCATGGGACAAGTTAGCCTTAGCTCCCTGAGAGCACAAATTATATCTGTCTTGCTCCTTCTTGTATCTCCAGTATCTGCCTAGCACAGTAAAGTGTACTCCAAAAACATCTGTTGAATAAATAAATGATTGAATAAATATCTTTTGATATTTCAGGAGACCTGGAGGGGGTAGGAATGACCCCTTTCTTGCAACTGATTGACAAGCTAAAGGATTGTGTAATACCCTGACATTATTTCAGGCTTACCTTTCAGTAAAAATAATATTCACAGGAGGGATTCTTCATTTTTTCTCTCCAGCCTTTAGTCCTCTGATCCAAAGTTACACTTTTCAAAAATTTTCTTACATTGGTGCTTGCCTTCTAATTTTATTTTTAATAAGTGTTATTGATAAGGAGGTCAAGAACCAGACTCAGTGCCCTAAAGAGCTCATACCCTGGCTCAATGTGGAAAAAAAAAAAAAGATGGTCTCATATTCTTTTATGCATTCCAGGGTCCAACATACTGCTCCAGCTGTAGTGTTCCATGCCTGATTTATGTTCAGCTTGTTGTCTTTATGTCTTCTTGATCTTTGGTAGGTAGACTTAGGCAAAGGCATTCATTTTCCATCTGCTCTCAATGCAATTTAATTTCTTTGTACCCTGTTGTTGTCTTCATTGGATTCCACTTGGCTTCAAAACACTTCCATCATTTGCTCAAATCAGTCCAGGTCCAACTCAGACCTGAGATGCTGGCCTGCCTTCACTGCTTGGTTTCCACCCTGATCATGTTCTCTAATGTATTTTTACTTTTGACACCTAGATTATTTTTTAATGTATAACATTATATGGGAAAAGAAAACTCTGTTATGTCAGTTAGATTATTATTTAAAGAGTTTGCATTAACTGTAACCATAATAATAATGCTATCTTTCCCTTATATGATAGCATGAAGATTAAAAAGTGCTTTTATCACATCAGCTTCCTATAATAACCCTAATGGGTAAACATGAAAAAAAAAATGTTCAGGGAGGTTAAATGATTATACAAGATCAAACCACCAGTAAGAGGCAGAACCCAGACAAATATCTAGACTTCTCATATTAATCCAAAACTTTTCTCTGCTATCCCACAAAATACCACTTTGCACTCGAATATTAGTATATGGTCTCAGGCAGAGGACCTCAGGCTTTACAGTGAGCTCCAGAAACTGTAACTTTTGAGGAACTCTAAGAAATCTGGTTCACTGAGCCAAAGTAGGGTCCAATAATCTGAATTTTGAACAAAACACTAAACTGAAAGCTGATTTAAAAGGTAACTTCATCCAAACACTACCAAAGTTACTGTTTTGTCTAACCTGAGTAACCCATTCGGTCAAGCTGATTGATACTAATTTTTTTCACCAAATGAATCTTGTGTTTAGCAAAACAATGTAGTTATCTTGTGACAAAGCCTTAACTTTCTAATATATCAATCAGTGAGTCTTATAGAACAAAGTAATATAACAATGATAAAGCTAACATTATGGTACCTCCTGCTAACTCCACATCAATATGGCAAGCCCATTCTTAAACCCTTAGGTTACTATTTTTTAAGCAGCTTCTTGACATTTTGATCAAGGTAGCAGGTCAAGAAATGAGGAGATGCTTTGCATTTGCGTTAACTAAAAAACTATATTATCCCCAGCTAAACTAAAAGCAGAAGCCTAATTTGTCAAATCACTCCCAAAAGTTGGCTCTCGACTTTTTTACAAGACATCTGTGGAGAACCAATTTGAGAAGGAAAAGCATTTCAATTCCATGACAAAAGTCCCAAATGAGGATAG